GACTCTCAGAAATAGCGAAAAAGACTGGACTTCTAAGCAACACAAAGAAAACAGAAGTTATGAGGATCAACAACAGACTACAAGAGAACCCAATCCTGCTACAGGGAGAGAACATCCTTGATACGGGCCACGTCACTTATCTAGGAAGTAGAGTTAGTAAAGACGGCGGAGCTGATGATGATATACTAATTCGGATCAATAAAGCTAGGTCTTTTTCAACTCTAAGGCACTATCTCTACATAACAAAATACGAATCTATAATACAAACGTTAAGTCTGTCTTTCTATACGGTTCAGAAACTTGGAGTCACTAAAACAAATATGGAAAAGCTCCAGACTTTTGTTAAACGATGCCTACGCCGGATATTAGAAATTAGGTGGCCAGAAAAGATAACTACTATCGATTTGTGGGAGAGAACTAGACAAAAGCTCATAGCCCAAGACATCACAAAACGAAAATGGAGCTGGATAGGACACACCCTGCGAAAACCAGCTACCAATGTTGCAAGGCAGGCACTCGACTGGAACCCACAAGGAAAGAGGAAAGTGGGCAGACCCAAGCAAACCTGGAAGAGGTCAGTCATCAGTGAAGCTGAGGGTACTGTAATGACATGGGAGCAGATGAAAAAAGCTGCTCAGAACCGAGTTCGGTGGAGAGGTGTGGTTGCGGCCCTATGCTCCCTTGAAAGTGCACATGATTAAGCTAAGCTAAGATAGTAAAGACACAATGCACTATGGTGTAATGCACAAATTGTAAGAGAAATGTCCTTATGGACAATAAAGATTATTATTATTATTATATTTTCCTTCACAATATGAATATATTCATTCATGATATTTTCGCTCACACTATATGTAAGTTTTATATGGCTTACTACTATGACGAATTCATAATGGTGTGCCTGTGTCAGCCAGTAAAAGTAAAACCAATGACTTCATCATGATGTCCTTTGTGTTCCTCGTGGAGCATAGGGCCATACAGTAAACAATTTCTACGGTCTCAAGCTTGTCTTCTTATTGCCACCAAGCGGTGGCGGATCCAGGGGCAGGGTCGATGGCCGGCCTCCCCAACTAAAAGAGAAATCTAACATTGACGACAGACATGCCATATTCTACTTAGTTTTTGTATCCATTGGAGGTGCAGACAGATTAGATCAGGGGTTCTCAACCTGTGGATCGCGACCCCTATGGGGGTCGATTGACGATTTACCAGGGGTCGCCTAAGACCATCGAAAACATGGATTGTTTTTTTGTCTATTATAACGCAAGAAACTTAATATTATAAAAATAACATTCGATTGGAAGTCACAATTTTTGGGGATCATTCTAGGAGACATGTTTTAAACCACTGAAACAGAATCATCTCACCAACATTTTAATAGTCGCAGCATAACTGTTTTTGAAAGTTTTAATGTAATGTAGACTAATGCATAGGCCTACCACACGTTACACTAGTGTTGAATCGTGGATATTATTTCAATGGTGACGTCGTGACAACATTAAAAAGCCATTTCGTATAAGTGAATAATACTCCATCGTTTATGGCATATGATATTGAAGATAATATTTTCATTATGGAACACCCTATGACAATGGTGCTCGCACACTGGAACGTTAAGAAAAGAAAATATAATTTCGATACCGGTATATGGTTTTACTAAAATAGTTTAAGCAGAAATTAAAAATCCATGTGCTTTATTTGTAACGAAATTATATACGCCGAATCTATGTAGCCGAAATAAATGCAACATCCTTTTGATGCTTAATGTCCAAACTTTAAGGTTAAGACAAGTAGCATATTTAAAAAGATTGTGATTTTAAAGACGAGTTTCGTTTTTGCAAACCACTGAAAACGATTACAAAAGTATGTGATTTTTGGTAAAGTAGAAAATCTTTTCTGAAAAATATTAGTGGTGTTAACAAGATGGTGCTTCAATTTTGAAAGTGTGCTGGTCTGGCTTTTAAAGTTTGTAAAAAATGAGTAATTAAAAGTCATCGGAACTCACTGTGTGATTCATCGACAAATATTAATAACAAAGACACTGCCAAAAGAATTTCAAGTAACTAAAAGCGTAACTGTTTGGATTAACTTAACATAGCTAGGTTTGTCTGAAGCAATCGATTCTTCCGAACGGAAGTTTAAATTGGCAAAACAAAATAAAATAAAATAATATTCCCATGCTGCCAACAGTATCTGCTGACTATGTGAAAAATAGCATTGAACCTGTCAAACAGATAAAATTATAATATTCTGTGAAAGAACATTTGCGCATGCACGTGCACAAAATTTCATCCTACTTTCCGAATCCGCCTGACATCACGTTTGCACTAGCCATAAGTCCATTCACAGTCAAAGAGGAAGAAGTTCCGAAGAAAGAGTTTATTGAGCTCAATAATAGCGATGTGACCTCAGTTTAACTCTGGATCAAGTGTTTTGCAGTCATATTCCGATTTGTCTGTCTCGCGATTATTTTTTTTTTCCATTTCAAATAAGTATTTTTTTGAAGCATTGTTTTCCAGATTTTTAGTAATGAAGTCTTATTAAAGAAGTCTAAGACTTGATGCAGAAAACGACAGTAGTTATGTCCCGAGAATCCCTAATAGGGAAAAGCAAACAGACTCAAACAGTCGCAACAATAGTGTAGCTATGTAGCTTACTATTGTACTAATTACTGCCCGTGCCCCGTCACGCTTTTCAATTGTTCATCTAAGTCTGTAACATGAATATGGTGAATCTATATAGAATAAGAAATAGAAAAGTAAATAGATGCACGTATGCAAGGTCAAAGGTTCAATGATTTGTAATTTAATGATAATGATGTAGGCCTATCTATTTATAAGAACTTCATTTCGAACTGTTTCATGATTGGAACATTAGGTTTTGGCAATGCATAACAGATACTTATAGGAAATTTCCATTTTATAACAGCCTACATATGCTTATGAATGAAAATAGTTATGCGGTTGGGGTGGGATAGGGGGTCATCGCCGAGAGGAGAATTGTAAAAAGGTGTTGTCGAGCCTAAAAGGTTGAGAACCGCTGGATTAGATAGATAGATATAGCTATATAAAAAGAGATGGTTAGATAGATATAGATATAGTTAGATATAGGGCCGTGGCCGCCTGCGTGCGAAATTTAAAGAATGCCGCCCCCCTTTTTTTTTCTAGAACAAAATCCATTAAGATTGAGCTGGACACTGTACCAAAAGTGCACTTTAATTTAAATCTATCTTTATTAGACCATTCCATTTTTTCCTTTCATATTCGCATAGTTGTTGTAACCCTCAAGTACAACTAGGAATCATGCACTATAGTAAACAAACAACATGTAGCCACGTGATAATATTGATAAAACAATGGAAAAAAACTGTCACGTGACAGCCTGTATGTATTACGTAATTTGTATAGAAGAGATAGAGAACTACGTGGCTAAATGTTGTTTGTTTACGATTGGTGAATGAGATCCATTGATCATGATCTATATACAATTTCTCGATAACTTTGACTGCTCAACAGTGATATATGGTCTGGACGTGGGTATGTTAACTTGTTTGTTATTGTAAGTTAAAGTATAATCCGAAAAAAAAAAGCTCGAAATACAAAAGCCTTTGTTGTTTGAACATTTTCAACGTTCTGTACACTTTCATTATAATTATCACCGTTGTATTTTAGAGAGATCTGCATTGTACCCACAATCATCTGACATACGCGGATTCAGAGTTGCCTACAAAGTTATCCAACAAATGAAGCGATTCAGCGCTCAATATTTTTCTTGAGTTTAATACAAAGTAAATAATCTAAAGTACAAATCACTTATACAATGACTTGAAATAAAACACAGTAAGGCAGTGTTTCTCACATTCCTGGGTGGCGACTCCCTAGATAGCAATATTTTCGTTCGAACCCCCTTTAGAAGCTGGAGCCCAGAGGAGCGATGAAAACTTCCATAGCGATGTCCGATAATTTTTTTTTTTTTAGAATATAATAAAAAAAAAACTTAGTCACAATTTTGAGGTTTTATTTTTCATTTATATTAATTTAACACTGTGTATAAAATCCAAATTTGAGTCATGAAAGTGCACTGAAAAGTGTTTTTTTTTTTTTTTTGTAAATTGTATTGCCTGCATCATTTTAAAGCGTAGATAGAAGCGAAGATAGAATTGAAGATGCGCCAGGTTTCCGTTCAAGTCTGGACCTTTTTTATTTTTTTGCCTCCCCTCTCCCCCGTTGTTGGCTTGTAGCTCTAAACAACTAGTACAACTGAAAAGATGAAGGCGTTTTATATTGGTTAATAAATAAACTTTGAATAACTTGAACAAACTTTGTTATTCGCGATTCAATTTGTGATGAAATATAGATCTAATAGTAATGAAATAAACTGATATTTAAAACAAACTCTAGCTCACAACAAAAATAAAGTCTTTACTCTCCTGACATTTGCACTAAGTACGCTGATTTCATCATTGTTACTGCATAATCACCAATCAATCGCTTAACCTCTTATCACCGCCGCTTAAGAAACACATACACTTCACTCCGTAACACTTCTTTTTGTCAGGACATTGCGCCCTTTCCCTCCATAGGAGAGAAACTAGCGCCCCCCCCCCCCCCGAATTTTTTTTTATTGACTATCTAATAAAAGAATTAAAAGATCTACTTAGAGGGCGGCAATTCGATTCAAAAACATATTACAAACAACCCGCGAAAATTCAAGGCCAAAAATGAGCAGGCGCTTATGCAAAAATCCCGTGAAAATCCCTCGCACGCTGCTCTATTTTATTTGGTCTAGTTTCCAAAATAATTTCTTATGTACGAATATCGTATATATATTTATTTAAAATATTACTATCCGTACTAACATACAAACACATTATTTCAAAATGAATCAAATGCTTAATGAAGATGAGATTTAATTTAAAAGTTGTAGAAATTGATTTAAAAAATAATAACTAACATACCGGTACAGGTACTTAACATTTTTTAAAATACAACAAAACTTAATTATTTTCTAAGTCTTCAAATTTATTGAATAAGTAAAGTAATTCTAAATTTCTAACCAATAATAAGTTTAACAAGTTGTGTCCAACTAAATAACAAGTCATGAAAAGAAAATAGCCATAACATTTTTAAGACATTTAGTTTTGTCTAATTTTTGGGACAAATGACTTCATTGTTCCACCTGATTTAAGGTATAATTTATTTTGGCCTAAACTGTTCATCATGGTTCTTGATGCTGATCAATTTTTTCCCAATGTTTGATATCTTTGTTGCTTAAGTCTTGCTAACAGACATCTTTGTAGAGTAAGTTTGACGTCTCTTTTGGTCATGTCTGAATAGAAGATTTGTTTAAAAGTCCAATATATAGTCAATATAGTTTTCAATGTGCTTTAATGAGAAATGGCGTAAAACTTCCAAATTAGAGTTCGTGAGACACATGGTCATGGCTGAATAGAAGATTGGTTTAAAAGTCCAATATATAGTCAATATAGTTTTCTATGTGCTTAATGAGAAATGGCGTAAAACTTCCAAACTAGAGTTCATGAGACACGGATATCACTCGAGAGATGTTCAATCGATGTTCTTGGTGCATGTAGAGTATTATCAAAAACTATCATTGCCATCAGAGATGTATTAAGCAAGTTCGCAGTAAGACTTCCAGGTTAACTTGAAAGCAAAAATCTATTCATTCATTAATTCTAGCTCATACGAATAATAGGCTACTAATTCTTGAGGGTATTGAATTCACACTAAATAGATTACATCACACATAATTTAAAGGTATTATTTTCCATCTTTTTCTTTAAGTGCTTATAAGTAGACTTGAGTCTAGCGACAACTTTAATAGTTGACTGATTGTGTGACATGCACTTCAGAATGTCATCTCAAGAACAATCCAGTCCAGCCTGTCATCCTTCAATCCTGTGATTTTTTTTCTAAATGTATGATAAGTCCGAAGCTTATAAAATAAAAACAACAGGCATTGTAGACTAACATTTGGGTAGCTTTAGTCAAACCTAAGAAGGTAAATTCAATTGTTGATCCTAAGAAGGTAAATTCAATTGTTGAACATAAGAAGGTAAATTCAAATGTTAAACCTAAGAAAGTAAATTCAATTGTTGAACCTAAGAAGGTAAATTCAATAGTTGATCCTAAGAAGGTAAATTCAAGAGTTGAACCTAAGATGGTAAATTCAATAGTTCAGCCTAAGAAGGTTAATTCACTAGTTTAGCCTAAGAAGGGTAAATTAATGCACCCCTTTAGAAACTGTCAATACATCTCATGTATTTCTGTGGCGTGCAGTTTTAAAACTTCAACTCTGGTGATACAGACTCCATATGACACTAACATATATATTTGATAAGCTAAAAAAAACTTTCAATCCATTCAAAGAATTATAAGTCACTACAAGAAAAACAAAATTTAATGCCAAAATATGCTGGTGTCAAAATTATGGTAATTTTATCCTGCTTTTGATGAGACAGAATCAAGCTGTACAAAGCTTCGCATATTAACACAAGTTTCTTAAATTTAGTGGAACACTAGCTATTCAATAGATAGGTAAAAATCTCATTTGATGACCAGGTCTTCATTATTCACTCAGTACCAGGTATAATATAGCATTTTGAATATATTTCAAATTAGACTATAAACAAAATATTAACATTGTCCCATGATTTAAACATTCTCCAGTCGTTTAAACTTAGTAGCAGCCTCAATTTTCAGTTACAGAGTTGTAATTAATCTCCTTTAATGTTGCTTTTCACCAGTTTGATCCAATCCTGTGCTTCAAGTACCCAATATAAACAGAGAAGCTGAAGGTCATGATAATGTTTACTCTTGACTTTCTTTTACAGTTTAAACCAGACGGTGAAATTTTTTCAAAAACTTTTAAAGCTTTTTTCCTCAGTAAATCAGCTGATGATTATCAAGGACGAAAAAAAGAAGAAAATTGCATAATACAAACATTTTAAGTTATTTTTGGTCTGATATGAAATTAAATGCTGTTTCAAATATAAGGTAAATAGACAAACCTTTTATACATATTATACATTTGAATGGTTTTTCAAAAGTATGAATTAATTAGGTGGTGTCTTTTTAAAGAGGAAGCTGCAGTATATCTTTTTGACATACAGTATTCAAAATATATGTGTATGAATCCAGCTGTGTTTTTTTAAATTTGAAGATAAATTAAATCCTTTTAGACATACTTCACATTGAAATACTTTTTCCCCATTATGAGTGCGTAGGTGATTTTTTAAAGTAGATAATTCAGTAAACCATTCCTGACATATTCGACATTTAAATGGTTTTTCACCAGCATGAATCAGACTGTGTCTTTTTAATTGTGAAGATTGAGTAAATCTTTTCTGACATATTTCACATTTATATGGTTTTTCACCAGTATGAATACGTTGGTGACTTTTTAAAGATGATGATTCAGTAAAATCTTTCTGACATATTTGACATTTAAATGTTTTTTCACCAGTATGAATCAGACTGTGTCTTTTTAAGTGTGAAGATTCACTAAATCCTTTTAGACACATTTCACATTTAAATGGTTTTTCACCAGTATGAATATGTTGGTGATTCTTTAAAGATGAAGATTGATTAAAACTTTTTTGACATATTTCACAATTAAATGGTTTTTCACCAGTATGAATCAGACTGTGTCTTTTTAAATGTGAAGATACACTAAAACCTTTTTGACATATCTGACATATAAATGGTTTTTCACCAGTATGAATACGCTGGTGATTTTTTAAAGATGAATACTCAGTAAATCCTTTTTGACATATTTCACATACAAATGGTTTTTCACCAGTATGAATACGCTGGTGTTTGTTTAAATTAGAATGTTTAGCAAAATCTTTGAGACATATGGGACACTGATGTTTTTCTTTAGCGCTATGACAAGAAGTTTTCATCTTTATTTTCAAAACAGATTCATTTGAAAGGCTTTCATTAAGTTCATCTTGTATGTTATCAGTAAGCACATTTATTTCTGATATCATTTCCTTTTCTTTCTTAATAACATCCACCTATTAAAAATAAGAAAGAAAGAAAAAAATAATTAAGTATTATTATTCTGATATCAAAACTATTCTGATGGCCAAATTTAATCGTTTGGTTCCGAATCTGGGGTCCTGGGATTTTCAATTTCTGGATTTTTAGAGCGCCCCTTAGTCCACTCAACTCTAATGGGTACCTGACGTTAGTTGGGAAAAGTAAAGTAGGTTGGTTGGTCGTTGTGCTGGCCACATGACACCATACTCGTTTGTTTTGCATTGAAGACATAGATATCTATCCAAATGGTGATCAGTTAACTTCATAAGTGACTAAAAAAATGTGCTATGTTTTTTTAAAAAACTAATTAGTGAGTTATCATACTGACTCTATCTAAGAGTGAACTTAAAAAAAAAAGGCTTCTAGTTAATTCAAACTATTCATAAAAACAGAAGTTGTTTTTTTCTTTAAACATTTGTTTCATAAGGTTAAATATATCTGATAAAGTAGTGATGTATGGTAAAATTGGAATACCTGATGTTCAAGTTTTACATTAGAAGTGTCAGCAAAGTTTTCTGATTGCTGTGTATACAAGTCTGATTCCTCTTCATCTATCTTCTCACTTTTTATGATCGGCTCTTTGAAGTCTTGTTCTTCACATGGTTGTGTTAATGAATCTGGGTCTTCCTTTTCCTTCTTCACATGTTTTAAGGCATGGTTCAGTTCAAGAGAAAAATCAAGCTTTGTGTCAGGCATCATGGAAGGGTACTTTGTCCAACTGTCAGCTGCACTAATATTTCTGTGATAAGAATAAAAAAATATTTGTAAAAACCTAAACCGGTAATTTAAAAAAATTAACGTTTTTAATTTTATAAAATTTTAGCATACAGTAAAATGTAAAAAAATTTTTTTTTTAATTCTGGATTCAGTCTTGCAGACTATAATCACTGACAAATATAACATATTCAATTTTTTTAAAATATTTCTTGACAAAATGGTAAATGTGTTGTCAAAGCAAAATATCTAATTTTTTTTTTTTAAATTAAGACTTTTCTCCTACTAATGTCAAGTATCCATTTAGAGTTGAGTGGACTCAGAGGCACCCTAAAGATCTTGAAATTAAAAATACCAGTCTTCACCAGGATTTGAGCCCAGGACCCCCAGTTTAAAAGCTAAGCACTTTACCAATCAGCTACTGCACCTCCTATTGTGGATCTAGCTGATGAACATTCCAGAATAAAGCATCATTTGTTTTTCAACATCTGTTGGTCATAAATAGTAGCTACTATACTTGAGCCCTTCTTTGGATTTGGAAATAAAAATCCCTAACCTCTCTCTAAATAAGACTATTAATTAAACATTTTCCTTTTTAAAAAAAATGTTGATTTAAAATAAAACCCTTGGGAAATTCTGGACATTTCAATTTGTTTGATTCATAAATCATAAGTGAGGAGATTGGAAACAAGATCACAACAAAAAACTGGCTCCATGATGACCTACTGACCATTATCCAAAAAAAACACATATTAGATTAGATATATATATATATATATATATATATATACTATTATAGTCATATAATGACATTCACAGGCCAGGGCATTCTCTATGAATGTGATCAAGCCATACTAGACATCTACTGCTGATAACAAAGCTAATATCCAGGTACCCTTGCCACCTACAAAAGCCTACACTAGTCATTCACTCACTAGAGTCTAGAGCAGTGATTCCCAAAGTGGTCTATATAGACCCCCAGGGGTCTACAAAGAGTTCCAAGGGGTCTACGAAAGTAAAAAAATAAATTGGGGGTCTACGAAAATGGATTTTATTTAAGCAGGTCGTGACTTTAATTTTTAACATCTCATCAATGTAATTATTTCATACACTAGATTTGTACCTTAGTTGATCCTTTCAATATTTATCCTGTTATTCAAATGAACAATTGTTATGTTTAATTTCAATACTTTTTTAAATAGCTTAATTTTGTCTAAAAGAAACCAATTGCTTAACAAAAAGAAATGTAGATTATACAGCATTGGTATTTAAAATTGGGATTCATTTCTTCCTTGTCAAACAAGCGGTTGCCAATTAAGTGCTTTTTTTATGACGATATGAAACCAATTACGCTGGAGGATCATTGGAGACAATGCCACACTGATAAAAAGATATTGGTTTGAATAACTTTCAAACTCTCAAAGATAAAATCTCTCTTCAACATCCTATAGAGAAGATGATAGTATGTGAGCATCTTAAAAGATCTCTTAACTCAAAGCTAAATACGGAAAACACTATAGATAAAACATTGATTTTACCAGCTGTTAAAGTAGATTTAAAAACTGTTTTACGCAAATGTACATCTGATATT